TGCATGCATACATACTAGTATAGTATCATATCTAGGACAATACAAAAGTTAAAAATAGAGGAGTTGTGCAATGTGAATATGCTCTGGGATATACAATCAAGTCTGGGAGGAATATAGCCTGATCAACTATATTCGTCAGAGAAGTGACTAGTATGTGTCGGGGGATAGTCATAGTGGACAACAAGTCTATCAACATACCAACACCCATACCAGAAAATAGTTAAGAACCAAACATAACATTTAAAATACTATAGGAGTATTTTGTGGTACTATAACCTATGTGAAAACTAAACAGATTCTTGCTAGTAGGTCTATAATCACTAAGTGGATATGCTAAAGTTATATATAACTTAGATATGTAACTGGTATGCACCGTGTCATTATAGAAGTAACTAAGGAGGATCAAACCCCTATAAGTATTTCTAGGAATATGATTGTTATATACCTCTTACCTCACCCCTATTCTTGCATGGACACCATGACAAGATCTTACTTACCGGGAGACCCCTACTTTCCGAACCCGGAAAGTTAGTGGGTGATGAGGAAAAGAGTCGAAGATGGAGCCAGAGGTCGACAACTTTCCTTACATAGCCAGGACTCTCGCGAACCGCCTCGACTACATCGAACCTGTGCCCCGTTGGGCAGCATTGATCAAGGGATGGAGTCGCCATCAGCAACATCAATCGCCATTTGGGGACGAATTGTCGTGAGTAGAGTTCATTTTACTCACAAGACCTGGTAGATTAGGCCTATGAGTATGCATTGGTGTTACTCCCCTCCATGTGTAGGCCCGACCCCGCGAGTTAGTGATTACACTAGTCGAGAGAATTATTTGCGGTCCAAACTTTTCCTTGTAATAATGTGGTATAGACCTGCATCAGGCTCAAAACCTTTCTCTAAAAACTAAATATACTAGAATCATACAAATGAAAGGGGCATGCATATTATTTCATTGGGAGCAATACTACTAAGAATTCATAAGTTTATTATATATAGACTCTCATTATGAATTGTTTTCAAAGGACACCAAAAACATTGGAACACGATACACTCAGAACTAAGATAAACAGAGTGAGATAACTCCTGACGTATAAACCCTTATTAAATACTCATTATCATCTCTTCTTTTTAAACCTCATGGTTGAAAGGTGCCTTTCCATAGACCTATAGGGTGCAGTCATACCAGCACTAATGCACCGGATCCCATCAAAATTCCTCAACTAAGTGTTGGATTAATGTCTAAGTCCATAACTATAATTGGTAAGACTTGACCCGACCCGGCATGGTCCATTTAGGTTGCATGGCATCATGCATTTGGATAGACTATAATGAGAGAAATAACACTTAAGGTTGGTTAATATATTATAAGTTCTAATATATTAATAAGGTTATTTAATTAGTATTGATCAAGAATTAATTTGGAATTAATTAAGTGATCAAAAGGAGACTAATTAAATATATGGGTTGATTGTTTAAATCATTCATTCTGATATATGTGGGCTTGTGATCCAAGATTCCTTATGTTGGACTAAGTCCATGGGGTGACCCATGGATACTCCATGGAGGTTAAAATCCATGGAGCATAAGGAATGGGTAAAGTTATGAGTTACATGGTGTAACCCTAATAGCCACCATATAAAAGAATCCCATGGCTCAAGAAATTGTGGACTAATGTGTGAGTGTGAGGGCTAGACGATTTCAAGGAGTGTTCAAGTTTCTCTCAAGTTATTCCAAGTGTATTTGGTGTTGTGTGAACCATTTGAGGTGTCACACTTGGGGCACTAGGCACTCAAGCTTCATGAAGACATTCTACATCAAAGAGGTATGTATTCTATCTTGTTATATTTATTATTTTGTATGCTAGATTAGGATAATACCTTGGATGTTCATAATTGTATGTATAATAGAGAAAACGTAGATCCAAGGTATTTAGGGTTGCATGTACACTTAGGAGTGTTAGAATGCTCATAACCCAACAGTGGTATCAGAGCCTAGGCTTGTTTTCTTGTTATACTTGCAAAAGTAGCTGAAAAATCGAGTTGGATGCATATATTCGATTGTTTTGGCTGGAATTGGACTAGGAACATTACCCTAAGATGTTTTTTGACTTATAAACTTGTTTTTGATGTGGTAATGTTCATGCTAATCCAATTTCTAAGATAATTGTCATAATTTCAAGATTTGTATTAGTTTGTATGTTCATGCTAATTTCTTGAAGATTGATGATTTGAATTATCTTGTTCTTATGAGGTTCTTAGATTAATAGAAAAGTTGTGTGAAATAGTTGTTTTCAATCCATTTTAATCTAATACTTGATTCCAAAGTGTGTTTTTGTAACTTGTCCTCAAGTTATATGAAAAGTCACATTTAAGAATCATAAAACTCATAAAAGTTGGCAAAGGTTACAAAATGAAGAGTCTAGTTCTAATTAAATGGTTTTATGACTCCATAACTTGTCCTCAAGTTATGGAGGTTCAAGAGTCTCATCATTAAATTAAAAAAAAAGTGTAACCTTAATTAGTTCCATAAGTTACAATAAAAAAAAGTTATTTTTTTATTAATTAGTTTAAAGTCTTCCATAACTTGTCCTCAAGTTATGGAACTTGAAGAGTTTTTTTTTAATTAAAACTACTTTAAACTCATAAATTATGGAATTAATTAGTTTTGAATAGTTTCAAAACTTGCCCTCAAGTTTTGGAATTTGAAAAGATTTCACTTATGAATACTTTAATTCCAAGTTAGCCCTTAGAATTTTAAAAGTTAAAATTCAACCCTTATACTTTATAATATTATAAGTTAATAATATTTATATATATGTATAAGAGTAAAGTCAGTCTTACCGTTAGTAGGCATCATTCACGAAGCCGGTCTATAAGGGGGGTATAAGGTTACTGCCTATAAAATGGCAGTTTAATGGGTGTCCACTCTCACCCACCGCTTCCTTGACTGGTGGAGGGTCATTAGCCGAACGGGTAGGACAAGGACTATAATTCTCCTTTCATTAAAAGTATTAATGATAAATACTAAGTAACTAAACTCTTATTAATACCTAATCTTAGTTACTTAGGAAAATGTGAATTTGGTGCTAACCCATGAAATTACACTTTGCACTTTGCTTAAGTCGTTAGTGGAGCGTGTGTGGTTAACCGGCACACTAACCTGGACTTAACAAGGTAGGCAAAGGGTAACTTAATATTTATCATAGTATCGGTGGAGCGTGTGTGGTTAACCGGCACACTGATTAAGTGGTAAATATTAAGGGTACCAAGTATATTTGCATGGTTATTCACACCTTGTTTTGTGATCCTCGGCATCCCAGTCACAAAACCTGAAGGGCACACTCGAGATTGAAACATGCCTTTGAACAGTTCAATGAATCTCAAAGATCTAGGACTTTCAAATCCAATTAAAACCTAATAAATTATTTCGTTTTTCATGGTGGAAATTGGTGAATCGTAATTCACCTACCTTCAAATATTTTATAGCTTGGATTACGGCATCCCTCTTCTAAGTTATAAAATAGTTTGTTGGGTCCTAGCCTTAATATTTCATATTAGGTGTCATATTAAGGACTTTAAATCAACTATCTTGAATATCTCCCAAAAAGATGTCTGGTCTAGACATTTATGATCTTCCCAAATCTCTTGAAACAAGCTTTCCTAAATGAAGATGATGTCCCATGGATATCATACTTCTTTCACCTCCTCCAATTATTCTCCCTAACCCACAAGTTCCTAAAAAGTTTAAGGTCACTCAAGCCCTATTGGCAAGGCAAGGTCTAGGTGTGATCACATCTTGGAGATGTAGTCACATATTGACAAGCCGGGAGAGTTGGGTGTCAAAGTCTTGAGAAAGTTGGTGGCTCAACTACTTTCTAAGTCGCATAGTGAGTTCTTTTGAGAATCCTATGAAACAGACTAAGACAAGACCCTTAATGAAATTCTCGGGGGAAATGAAATTCCAAAAGTTTGAAAAGCCTCCATGTTCTCCTCTACCTTCTTTCAATCGTTCTTCTCTCTCTCTCTCTCTCACACACACACACACAATCAAATACCAAAAAAACGTTTTAATCGGAGAGCCCCGATGTCTCTCTCACCGTCACTGCTCTTTTCTCCCACAACAGCATCACACTATCACCAAATCTCTGATCTCCGACCGATGTCTCCACCCATTCTTTGCCCCCTCTCTAATTTGCTCAGTCAAATATCAAAAAAACAAACCACGATGCGCTTCTCCTTTCTCCCATACCAGTCGACAGAAAACAAGGAGTCTCGTACCTAAAATTCAATATAGGGCCACAAAATCGACTATTGTTGGAAAGGACGCTTATACCCTGCCCTATAGGGCCACAAAATATAGGGCCACAAAATCGACAAATAAGGGGGAATGCAATTTCTGATTCATCTCTCGACTTCATCTTCTCAATCAAGCAAAAAGGTGTATGATTTTTTCCCACATCTGTGATTCATCTGGTATTTATGATTTCTCCTTTATGCCTCTGATTTTTTCCTACATCTATTTCTCATCTCTGAAAACATCTTGATTTTATCGTTTCAACATACAACTATTGGTTTAGAACTTTAGATCCTTTAAGGAATTTGTAGTGATTATCAAAACTTCTTTTCATTATACAGTAGGAGGTACTCAAAAACAAAATTAAGGTCTGGAAGTTAAAAGAGGAAGACAAGCCACTTAAGTTTAATGTAATCCTGATTTTCTCCCGCAATTATTACTTTCCAATACACTCTGACAAACCCTCGTTCCATGTCCCCTCCATGTCTCCTTCCTTATTAGGGTTCGTTGATTAGGTAAGATACTGTTTTCAGATATCAAATTGCTGCAAAAATATAATGGGGAGAATTGAAGTTTGAGGTTTTAGCCTTTTAGGTCGAATAAAGTAAATGTTAATTGTTGTTTTTGTTTTCTTACTCTTTTAGTACTTTTCATTTGTTAAAGCGTTTTTTAGTTAGTGCTCTTGTTGATTGGTTGAAATTGTCGATATGGAGTTCTATGAATGGAGAATGGACCACGCTCTGAGATTTGCTCTGATGCTGATTCTTCTTGCCATAGGTATGCTTTTATACTTAATCTCCTCATACTTTTATGGATTCTTCTATGAAGAAGGATACTGAATTACTCATAGAACATAGTCTTCCATGAATGAAGAATTCTTCATTTTGATGCATAATTATTCCAATCGTTATCTGATTCGTCCACAGTTCATCCATCTTCCAGGTCATATGACTTCGAGCATTGCAAAAATTCAGTGAAGCAATGGGCATCTTCTTCCCTTCATTTAGACACCAAAGATGGTCATATTCTCAAGGACATGCTCTTTTTCCTTCATGTCCCAAGAACTGGAGGCCGAACTTATTTCCATTGGTAACTTCTTTCCCTTTCTTTAAGCATTCCATTTTTCTCAAGACTATGAAGTATGAACATCACATAATCTTTTCTGGATTTACTTCATCTCAACAGCTTCTTAATGAAACTCTATTCTAGTGCTCTAGAATGCCCTCAATCTTACGACAAATTACGATTTAATCCCCAGTAAGTTTCACAATTGCTACACTTATGTTTGCTTATTATAATTTTCTTTCTAAATCACTAAATTGTAAACCTTTTTGTGTTCTTGTGAAGCAAACCAGGTTACAGACTATTTGTAACTCATGATGATTATAGCATGATGTCCAAACTTCCAACAGAGAAAAATTCAGTAGTAACAATCTTAAGGAACACTATTGAGCGAGTTTTCAGTGCTGATGAATTTTCAGTAGAAGTAGCTACTAGGTTTTTAGTGCATCAAAATTTGACCTCAGTATTGAAAATGTCTTCAAGAATACGTTCCAAAAATGGTGGCATAAGCACTCTTGAGATTTGGCCATGGAAGTATCTTGTTCCTTGGATGAGAGAGGATCTTTTCACTCGAGTATTATTTATGTCTTTTTAAACAATAAAGCAGATACAGACAATAAGATATTGACTTAATTTGTTATGTAATGAATAGAGAGATGAAAGAAAGAGAAGGGGCCCACATTATACATATGGGAATGATTCATATGATATGGAGGAAATTGTTATGCCATTACATGAATACATTAATCACCTTGTAGCTATGGATATTGTTCACAATGGTGCTACATTCCAGGTACAAAATTTTACAAACATGTTGACATTTTTGTCCTTTTTGTTGTTGTGGCTAATTTTTTTTTTGTAAAAAGTTTGCAGGTTTGTCAAATAATTCTAATATTCGTGAGGCACATGAACTTCGCCAATGTGTAATAACACATGAGATTCGTGGGAAATATGTGCTTAAAGTTGCAAAGGTAAAATGACTAAAATACCATTCTAATCTAAAACTAAAAGTTTATCTTTTTAATGTTGATTTGTTGCAGAAAAGGTTGGATGATATGTTATATGTTTGGATCACAGAGGATCATAGAGAATCTGCTACAATGTTTGAAAATGTTGTTGGAGCACAAGTTATTTCTCAGTTAATGGCATCAACTGCAAATAATAATAATAATAATAATAATAATACATCAGGTATATCTTTGTTATTTTTATTTCTCAGTTATTTGTTATATATTTCCCCTATTTTTTTAATAAGCATTTCTAATGTTTTTAATTATTATGATTCAGAACAGGGTCCTTCAGTTTCTGATTCCACCAATGATACAACTGATGATCAGGTAATAATAAATAATTGGTGATTTTTTTTTAAAGAAAAATTTTAGCTCTTTCATATTAGTGACTTAATATGCTTAAGTAGTGATTATCATAGCCTTTTCTCCTTCAACATGACTGAACTTCAACTCAAACAGGTAAAAAATTAAGGCATTTTATTTGGTCTATTCTTGCAGATAAATTTTATAAGTTTTAAATATTTCTCATCTGATCTCAAGTTAAATCTCCCTTTTCATTATGATTTTTTCATGTTTATAAACAACAGTGTGATTTCATGTGTAGGATGGAGAAGCTTATGCTTACCTGCTTAATGTTCTTTCACCAGAACATTGCAGCCCAGCCACATTGGATAATGGATACCAAGGATCCAGTTGAAAGGGAAAATTTGGTACTTGAGTATGCAAAAAAATAGATTACAAAAGATACTTGGCTCCTAAAGATATCGTTGAAGGCTCTGCCAATTTAAATCTTTCATTTGTTGCACAAATATTCCATTAAAGGTTGGATTCCCTTGTATTAATATTATTTTCTTGTTATCACTTAGTCTATATGGGCAGCTACCTAAAACAACAGCATCATTTCACACATGTGTTCAACAACTAAACTTAGCAAAAGCTTATTGTGCTCAACCATTCACAACATGGGCATACGTTCAACTTTAAACTATCAACTAATAAATGGTCATTATCAACTTCCAATCAGGCTTTAAGGGCATCCCTTACCCAAATATGATATAATGGGGGTACTGATAGCCACATGCATTTCTTTTATTTATTTTTTTTTCTTCTATCGTTTTTCTTGACCCCTTTTTCCTCATCTAAAGATTCATGAATTTTAATTTTTTCAAAATATTTTATAATGAAATTTTGAATGTTGATAATGTGTTTGTAGTTGCATGATATTTGAGGTATATGTTTGTTGAAAGAAGTTTACTTGAGGTTGTTTATTTTTTTATGTCAGTCGCAAAGGAAAGTTCCAAAGACACCCACACCGGGCCATTACCTAGGCCTGAAAAACACGAGAGACACTGGTAACTTTTCATCATTTTTTATCTGTTAGGTTGTGTTTGGTATGATCATGATGGAATTGCAAAATTAATGAAATGGTTTGTACCATTGGAATGGAATAAGCCAGTTCTTTTACTTGATGGAATGGAATGCTTGTTTCTGAACAAATCTGATTCTTTTCATTCCTTAGCCAATGGGGTGTTTTTTTTCTCATTTTTTTTATCAAGGAATGGAATGAAGATTTTAAAGTAACCAAATGTTTATTTGTAAATTTTCATAATAGCAAGTCTCTTAAAAAAATTATAGATTTTATTCAAGTCAACTTCATTTTCTAAAAAAATAACTTCAAATGAAATTTTTTATTCTAATATTATTAGGGTCAATAAAAAAATGAATTAATCGTTATATTAAAAAATTGGTAGGCTCCTGTAACATAATGGAGCTGGTCCAACTCCTAACGGATCCTAAAACGGATCATTGTAAAGGTTTCAAGTTCATTTAGGTCTGTTTTTTAATTTCAATTTTTCTTTCTTAGTTGCTCTCTTGATCATAATTATCAACATATAACTCATTTATTTTTTTATTTTTTATAGTTTGCTCAACTTGAGAAATGGGTTCTTCTAAAATGATGCCATATCTGAACATGTTTGTTTTTTAAAATATTTGTGGTATTATTGTTGACCACATGGTAACACAGAGAATCTTAATTGTGACAAATACAAGAAAGGTTTTGAATACTGTAGGGTTTTTAGTGTCTGCAGTCTCATTAATGTTTCTTCCTCTTTTTAGAACATCTGAAGGGGTAATACTTTGTTCTTCAGTGGCTCTTGCTTTTCTTGGATTAGGAAGAGTTGGATTTGCAGTGAATCATATGGATATTGCTCCTAGATATGCTGGAATTGTGATGGGTGTCTCGAATACAGTTGGCACTTTAGTTGGTATTGTTGGAGTTGAGCTTACTGGGCAGCTTCTAGAAGCTGCAAAAACCAATAATTTAGATATTTCTAGTCTTGATACATGGATGGCAGTTTTTCTTATATTAGGATTACTCTGTATTGCAAGTTATGTCATTTTCCTTTTATTTTCAACTGGAGAGAATATTTGATTTAGGTTAGTAATAGTATTCCCCAAGTGACACACAACTAGTGGTTTCATTTGTCCTACTGGTTAAGGTTGGTTTCATTTATTTCTTAGTAGTTTACTTTTATACCCCTATGTTCTTGTCTATTTTGGAGTTCATAGTAATTTTATACTTTTGTATCCATGTCTGCAGAGGTTGGCAGTTGATGAATAGTTTTTACATCAACTTCAATAACATTGTAGAAATGTTTAATCGAGTATGAGAATTAAATCAGAGTAAAAGATGAACACAAGAGGTAAATAAGATCTGGTTTAGCTCATATTACTGTCAGAGAACAAGAGTACAAAAATGATAGTAAACATGGGAAAAATCTACTATCAACTCTATGTTCAGCTCCTATTTATAGGAGGCTGAAAGTACAAAAAATACTAAGGCTAGACATTACGCTTCGTTAAAAAGAAGCCTTAGCAAATACATAGAAAACATACGAAATTGACAAATACACAGACTTCGACATATTACAAGACATTTCGACTCTACAATCTCCCCCTTTGTAATCAAGTCGAACTTCTCAATTCGTGAGAATCTGTGCAGCAAAGTGCATCATCCTTCGTATCTCCGAGTACCATGTCATTATCTTCCTTAACTCAACTTTATCTCCTTCATTATGCTTCTTGCAACTATTCATACGAACAATGAAGTTTGTATATTGCGAAGTAGTATATCTTTCTATCTCTAAAGACTGGAATAAAAACCTCTTAGCTTTGCCATTCTTATATTTTCCTGCAAAGACTAACCCAAAAGGTTTTAAGCATGTCTCCCCATCAGCATATTTCTTCAGTTCAGCTTGAGTCTTCGACAATTCCATTGAAATTTTCACTTCCTTTCCCAATGCTGATGCTAACTCCACATCAGTCAATGCTAGACAATCATAATAATTGTCTATGAAGATTTTGATATGGGCATGACCACGCCTCAATACTTGTTTATCAGTCCCTTGAAGTTGTGAAGCCTCCATGTCTTTCAAAATTAATGCAACTTGAATCAGATCATTCAAGTTCATTGGAGGAAAATCAGCAACCGAGAAATCACATACTTGATTGTTCGTTCTTACAACATGATACCGAAAATTATGTATCATATTCTCGAACATTACATCTTTTGTTATACTGATAACCTTCTTGATCTTCACCAATGACCATATTTCTTCAGGTTCTTTTCCAACAACCGTATGAAACCTAAGTTTCATATTAATAAAATCATCCTCGTTTTCGAACTTCTCAATTATCTTGTACTGAGCCATGATAAACATCATTTCATTCACTGGAAAATCAAGCTGACTCATATCAGTGTTATTGATAGAATAGCTTTTCTTAGGCTTTTTTCTCAAACGCATACATGTGATTCAAAGCAACTCTTGCTTCAATATTCTCATAGCTGTACAACTTCGTTGGATCTCCCTTATCCATACTAGGTGAATCATTTTCACGAAGTCTTAGTATGCTTTATATGTACCTTTGTTTCTCCATTTCAGCTTCAATTTCAGCCTTCCTCTCTTCTTTTGATTTTTCAACCAAAATCCCGTTCCCTTTTCCATCATCTTCAGAAGGTTTTGGTTTAGAAGAACTTGAACTTCCTCCTTCAGTAGAAGAGCCCATAACAATTCCCTTCAGAATGGGTCTTGTTTTTCTCTTGATGGCTTCTGATGTAATCACCACTGAAACTATAGGTGTTGGGACTTGAGTAGATACAACTTTCGTTAATTCACCGGTAGTTACAATCCTCTCAATCTTTTTCGACCTATCAACCCCTTTTGTTATTTTCGAAGATTTGCCTTCTTGAATTTGCTTTTCTCCCCCTTGCACCCCTGTGACAACAGGAGGGGCACCAACAGGCAACATTTTGGCAAATTTCGAAATTAGAGCAACATCCTTCTGAATGGCTTGATCCAAACTATGTAACTTCTGAGTTAAAAACTCAGGAGTTAAAAACGAAGTTGGAGCTGGTTTCGATACTAACTCTTTCAATTCACCAAGTAAAACACCCAACTTGTCGAAATTTTGAGCATCTTCTTTAGCTTTTGCATCAAACTTGGTAGTTAACGATTGATACCATTCGACAACCGTTCTGACTGCAGCCGCTATAGTATCAACATTCGACTTGATTATCAAATAATTGGAATTCAGCTCATTCAACTCTTTGGAGACATCAACCTTCAGCTCCTCAAGTTTTCGATTTACATATTCCCTTATGGTTTTGACATCTTTAACAAAAAGAACATGACGTTCTTTTGTTACCATACGAAGATCTTTAATTTCAGAGTTAAATGAACCAGCCTGAGCCTTGACTCTCAACTTGTTGTTCTTATCGATAACATCCAATTTATGTTGCATTCGAAGTTCTACAGCTTTGAGCATCACATCAACTTCTATGACTGACACCGAGTTCTTTGCTCCGGAATCAGCTTGTGATTGAAGAAGATAATTGAGTTTTCGATTGAGAATCTTGAACTGCTTCCCCGGCATCAGCATATGATCATGTATGTGTTGGATTAATGTCTAAGTCCATAACTATAATTGGTAAGACTTGACCCGACCCGGCATGGTCCATTTGGGTTGCATGGCATCATGCATTTGGATAGACTATAATGAGAGTAATAACACTTAAGGTTGGTTAATATATTATAAGTTCTAATATATTAATAAGGTTATTTAATTAGTATTGATCAAGAATTAATTTGGAATTAATTAAGTGATCAAAAGGAGACTAATTAAATATATGGGTTGATTGTGTAAATCATTCATTCTTATATATGTGGGCTTGTGATCCAAGATTCCTTATGTTGGACTAAGTCCATGGGGTGACCCATGGATACTCCATGGAGGTTAAAATCCATGGAGCATAAGGAATGGGTAAAGTTATGAGTTACATGGTGTAACCCTAATAGCCACCATATAAAAGAATCCCATGGCTCAAGAAATCGTGCACTAATGTGTGAGTGTGAGGGCTAGACGATTTCAAAGAGTGTTCAAGTTTCTCTCAAGTTATTCCAAGTGTATTTGGTGTTGTGTGAACCATTTGAGGTGTCACACTTGGGGCACTAGGCACTCAAGCTTCATGAAGACATTCTACATCAAAGAGGTATGTATTCTATCTTGTTATATTTATTATTTTGTATGCTAGATTAGGATAATACCTTGGATGTTCATAATTATATGTATAATAGAGAAAACATAGATCCAAGGTATTTAGGGTTGCATGTACACTTAGGAGTGTTAGAATGCTCA